GAGGACTGATGTGTTAATTGTAAGATCATGATAGATGTCAATGTCTTCCTCCATATTCATCATCTGCACTGGAACCTGGAAAATGACAATTTAAGCAAAAAGTCCCTTAATTAATAAATATACACAGATTGATGGCTGCATGATGTATAATTATTGTAACTCAAGCCCACTCTGAATAAATGATCAAACTTCAAACCTTGGTGTTCTCAGCCACATTGAAATCCTCCTCCTTGGTCAGTTTAGGTTCAAATGGAGTCTGCCACTTTCCTGTATGATGGTGATGAGTGGAAATAAAACCCAGATCACGGTTGATACATCAAACTTAAATATGTGACCTCAGAACAAAAAAAGACATGTAATTACATGATACCTTTTACCTTTGAAGTAGATGTAGCTGATGAGATACATGACTGTGTTTGGATCCAGATTTTCAAACCAACTTGTCAATCTTTCCTTTGGTCTTCTCTGCCACATATGTATTGATGGTATTGGCACTGTCTGTGGTTTTGGTGAAGTCAACATTAAACCCCTCTGAAAAAGTAGGACTGTTTCAAGACCTGCAGGAAATCAGGGTGTGGCTTGAAGCGGTTATCCATGAACACAGCCGTCCCTTCACTGGTGTCTTCTTAGACAGCTTGTTTGACCTTTCGAGGATTGTATGGAAAGCCTGATCTACATTTGCCTGTGTCAGTAGGGAGCTGTTGAAGCCCAGGACCCGCTGAAAAAGCTGTTCGTGGTGTCTCCCCCGTGCTCCTACAGACAGGGCGGCCAAGGCGATGGACACACTTCTTGTGAAAAGATGATGTTCTTGCCCTGTAAGTCAGCATGAGCCGCTAAACTTCCTGTACAGACTGTAGGTAAACTCTTTGTTTGCTGAAGTCACCAGTGAGACACTGTGTACCAGGGTCAACTGCAGTGTCTTGGCCGCGTCTCTTCCTTGCCATGACCTAAATGGTGATGGCTTTCTTCCCACGCAGACCACTGCTGATAAGATCCAGATACTCAGGGCTGCATGCATCATGGTGAACTAAGAGAGAGGGTCAAAAGCACTGTTCATTTGGGTTACCAATGTTTGCTAGGGCAAATACTCAAACATACAAGTAATATGTTGTTTTAAAAGGACTTTTCTTACAATGAGTTATTGGTTCCTATAAGAACACTTTTCTTCACAGTTAGAGTTTTGCGTCATTTCACAAACAGATTTTTCTTTGAACTACCGGTCAAAAGTTTTACATCATGTCCATTTTTCCAGGTGCTATTTAGATTTACATAATTCAATGTCTCAGTGTTTCTGAAATTAAAACATAGAAAAAAAACAATTTAAGAAAACGATTTAGATTCTTTCTACAATTGAAATGAAACATCTTTCAGAAAGTTTGTCTGAACACGAAGTTGCAGTGTGTTACACTTGTAGGTTGCTTTGCTTTCATCTTCTGCCCAGTTCATCCCAAACCGGCTCTTCCCTCATGTGAAACTTCTTCTGTTTTTTTTTGTTCCAATGTTTTGGGTTATTATGAAATCACTCATTTTCATTCTTGCATGTTTAGTTTAGATTATTTAACGTAAGTACAGAAATACATAAGACTTCCAGCAAAGTTTTCAGGGGCTTTAAGTCTAAATTCCTCATATTACACTAACACAGTCATGTGTAACTGTGTGTGTGCGCATCTGTAAGTGGAGCAGTTAAACATGTTATATATGGGGGGGAAAAAAACACGTATTGCTAAAATAATTAATGTCTCTAAATCTCTGTAAATCTTTTTAACCACTTACCTCCTTCTGGCCGCTGCTCACAGTGTGTCTCATCAACCACAGACAGTGAAACACAGCAGAGAGGGAGATGTCCCATTTTATGCGTTTGATGGAAGCGTGTCCTCGCCTGCTATGCCTCTGTCTCGCTCTCCACTCTGCCACACCTCCTAATCAGCCTCATTGTCCTCACCTGTTGCCCCCAGCTGCACTCGATCTCCAATCAGGCCAGTATACAGGCCAATGCATCCCCGGTTCACTCGCTCTTTACCAGATTGTTCTCACTATCATGCTGGACCTTCCAGCGGTCATCTCCGGACTGATTTCCCGTTATCGACTCTGCTCGTCTCTGCCCCGGTAAACGCCTCAGCCTTCTGTCCCCGACCACGAGTTCTGCCTGTGCGCTTCCTGGTACCCGTCTGCTTGTCCCTGTCCCTGTGGCTGTTTGGCGCTCTCCAGCTCCGACGTCGCAACGTGAGTGCTTCCCTGCTGGTTTCCCGATCCTTCGTCTGACTCCGATTACCCGCCCGCCTGCTTCCTCCTGGTTCGTCCTGGTTCGACTGCCCCGCTGACTGCTCACCTGGTTCTGATCCTCCTGCTCCCTAACACCCGGCACCGCCAGCCCCAGCCCACTCACCTGACCCACGGCTCTCCAGCCCCGGACCCCATCCTCTACCCCTAATACCCGTGTGTGTGTGTGTGTGTGTGTGTGTGTGTGTGTGTGTGTGTGTGTGTGTGTGTGTGTGTGTGTGTGTGTGTGTGTCATGGCTGATGATGGCTTTGCCCAGTAAACAAGAGTCTCCCCAATTCACACTGCAAGACCGGGTGAGCTCAGGTCAATGTCCACCTTCCAAGAGGGGGGTCTATCATTCAAGGATGCAGGAAGTTTAGATGTATATGACGTAGCTTTTTCCGCTCACGGTTGATGCCAGACAGCAGCCTGATGTGACATCAGTGCTATCTTTGTCCAAACTAGTCCATTAAAAATATACAAAGAGTTAAAAACGGGAAGGGGACGAAGAGGGGGAAAAAAACCTTCTTACACGTGGCTGTCAAAAAGAAATCTGTTTACTGATTAACTGAGAGAAGTAGCCTGCTCTAGCAGTGGAGAGAACACGCTTGTATTTTGACACAGACTTGTGCAAGGTAGAGTGCTTAAGATTTTGATTTACACTCCAATCTCCTGCAGGCCTGCTTCAGGGCTTGTTTCTTCAGTAAACTATGGTTTCGACCTCCTATAACTTTCTGGTTTTAGTGGCGAGAGGAGCAACTGAGTCCAAGAGGCTGGACAGAGCTGTGTTTCTTATTTCTAAGGAAAAATTTAGAGGCCTGCAATTGGACTTTTGAGAATGCCTGTTGATAATGATTTTCCCTGTATTAGTCTATTTTCTTCAAAATAGACATGTAAAAGTGTTTGCTACATAAGCAGCCATAAAGGAAGAGACCACAGACTAAATGTTTTTTTTTTTTTTTTTTTAAGTGTTTATATTTTATATCTGATGCAACCGCTGTGCTTGAGCCAACACAAAATCTGTCATCATTCGTTTGGGTTGGTAATCTTGCCAATGAAGAGGGTGTCTTCTGTGATGCGGTCAACGATGATGACCATAAATGGACGATTGAACCTCAAGACAGGGATGTGGCGGAAGGATGCAGTTGTGACGCCGATGCCTGTGGCAGCTGTGGCGGTGGCTCCGGCCTCATCCACATCCAGGGTAGCTTGGTGCACAACCTGAAGCACAATACAGGCAGGGTGAGATGAGGTGGATGAAATACTGGGTAGGAAATATGCATGCAATGACATATGCTTGTTGTCCTTACCTCTGACACTGCCAGTTTTTGCCCCTCTGAAATGCCACTCAGGTCTGCATGATCACCAAACATGTCTGTCATTCCCATTTGAGTCAACACATCATTCAGCTTGTAGGAATTCTTGATGGAGAACTTTGGAACAAATATGTCATATGTCCTATAAAATTGGAAAATAGACAAACATGCAGTGATTGATCTGACAGTGATAATTGATCTGACAGGACGAAGATGAGTAACTTTTTCAGTGTCAAATCATGCATATTAGAAACCAAGAATTTAAAGATGTTATATGATTTCTCCCAAACCTGGACTTCATCCACTTCAGCCATTTGGAGACGTGGCCTGGGCAAATGGCATTCTCCAGTTCTGCCATATCATTAGGCAACATCAGCAGCATGGAGTAGGAGCTGTTGAAGGGAAGGTGGAGGACTGATGTGTTAATTGCAAGGTCATGATAGATGTCAACGTCTTCCTCCATATTCATCATCTGCACTGGAACCTGGAAAATGACAATTTAAGCAAAAAGTCCCTTAATTAATAAATATACACAGATTGATGGCTGCATGATGATGTATAATTATTGTAACTCAAGCCCACTCTGAATAAATGATCAAACTTCAAACCTTGGTGTTCTCAGCCACATTGAAATCCTCCTCCTTGGTCAGTTTAGGTTCAAATGGAGTCTGCCACTTTCCTGTATGATGGTGATGAGTGGAAATAAAACCCAGATCACGGTTGATACATCAAACTTAAATATGTGACCTCAGAACGAAGAGACATGTAATTACATGTATACTTTTTACCTTGAAGTAGATGTAGCTGATGAGATACATGACTGTGTTTGGATCCAGATTTCAACCAACTTGTCTATCTTCCCTTTGGTTTCTCTTGCCACATACGTATTGATGGTATTGGCGCTGTCTGTGGTTTTGGTGAAGTCAACATTAAACCCTCTGAAAAGTAGGACTGTTTCAAGACCTCCAGGAAATCAGGGTGTGGCTTGAAGCGGTTATCATGAACACAGCCGTCCCTTCACTGGTGTCTTCAAGAAAGCCTTGTTTGACTTCGAGGATGAATGGAAAGCCTGATCTACATTTTTGCCTGTGTCAGTAGGGAGCTGTTGAAGCCCGACCGCTGAAAAGCTGTTCGTGGGTCTCCCCCCAGTGCCTCCCTACAGACAGGACGGCCAAGGCGATGGACCACACTTCTTGGTGAGGAGAAGATGTTCTTGCCCTGTAAGTCGGCATGAGCCGCTAACTTCCTGTCACAGACTGTAGGTAAACTCTTTTGTTGCTGAAGTCACCAGTGAGACACTGCTGTTACCAGGGTCCAACTGCAGTGTCTTGGCCTGTCTCTTCCTGCCATGACCTAAATGGTGATGGCTTCCTTCCCACGCAGACCACTGCTGAAGATCCAGATACTCAGGGCTGCATGCATCATGGTGAACTAAGAGAGAGGGTCAAAAGCACTGTTTCATTGGGTTACACAATGTTTGCTAGGGCAAATACTCAACATACAAGTAAATATGTTGTTTAAAAAGGACTTTTCTTACAATGAGTTATTGGTTCCTATAAGAACACTTTTCTTCACAGTTAGAGTTTTGGTCATTCACAAACAGATTTCTTTTGAACTAGCCGTCAAAAGTTTTACATCATGTTCCATTTTTCTCAAGGTGGCTCATTTACGATTTAACATATTCAATGTCTCAGTGTTTCTTGAAATTAAAACATAGAAAAAAAACAATTTAAGAAAACGATTTAGATTCTTTCTACAATTGAAATGAAACATCTTTCAGAAAGTTTGTCTGAACACGAAGTTGCAGTGTGTTACACTTGTAGGTTGCTTTGCTTTCATCTTCTGCCCAGTTCATCCCAAACCGGCTCTTCCCTCATGTGAAACTTCTTCTGTTTTTTTTTGTTCCAATGTTTTGGGTTATTATGAAATCACTCATTTTCATTCTTGCATGTTTAGTTTAGATTATTTAACGTAAGTACAGAAATACATAAGACTTCCAGCAAAGTTTTCAGGGGCTTTAAGTCTAAATTCCTCATATTACACTAACACAGTCATGTGTAACTGTGTGTGTGCGCATCTGTAGGTGGAGCAGTTAAACATGTTATATATGGAAAAAACACATATTGCTAAAATAATTGTCTCTAAATCTCTGTAAATCTTTTTAACCACTTACCTCCTTCTGGCCGCTGCTCACAGTGTGTCTCATCAACCACAGACAGTGAAACACAGGCTGGACAGAGGGAGATGTCCCATTTTATTAGATTGATGGAAGCCACTGAACTTTAGCTTTGTTTATTTCCTTGATCTACATGGCTGATGATGGCTTTGCCAGTAAACAAGAGTCTCTCCAACTCAAACACTGCAAGACCGGGTGAGCTCAGGTCAATGTCCACCTTCCAAGAGGGGGGTCTATCATTCAAGGATGCAGGAAGTTTAGATGTATATGACGTAGCTTTTTCCGCTCACGGTTGATGCCAGACAGCAGCCTCATGTGACATCAGTGCTATCTTTGTCCATTAAAAGTATACAAAGAGTTTAAAACAGGAAAGAAAAAAAAAACTTCTTACACGTGGCTGTCAAAAAGAAATCTTTTTATTGTTACTGATTAACTGAGAGAAGTAGCCTGCTCTAGCAGTGGAAAGAGCACACTTGTTTTCTGACACAGACCTGTGCCACTGAAAGTAGAGTGCTTCAGATTTTGATTTGTGCTCCAATCTCCTGCAGGCCTGCTTCAGGGCTTGTGTTTCTTCAGTAAACCATGGTGTCGACCTCTTTAACTTTCTGGTTTTAGTGGTGAGAGGAGCAACTGAGTCCAAGAGGCTGGACAGAGCTGTGTTTATCTTATTTCTAAGGAAAAATTTAGAGGGCCTGCACACGTGACGGTGTGATGATACAGTAGTGATTTTGTTTTGGAGAAATGTGTCAGATGCTTTGTGAAACACTACGTTGCCACAGGTTAAAGGAATGGTGGCCAATGTGTGGGGATTTGCATGTTTAAAGAACTTATGAGTAGTACGGCGGGGGAGGGAGACAGTCTCAATATTATAAATGTGGCTATCAGGCGGATAGTCTATACTATGGAGATTTTCCTCCCTAAACTTAGATTCTAGATGAGTGGACTCCAAAACCGCACTTCCTAGATCCCTAGCACGCTCTAATCACCTGCGACCTGCTGAGCACTACGTCCCAAGTGTCAAATCTGCTGTAAACACCTGTCTATATAGACATTACTAGACAAAACAGCAGCGCCTTTTCTGGTGGGATGAAGGCCGTCTGCTTTCAGCAGGTCAGGGCAGCCCCAGAAACACCAGTTATCTACAGAACTATATCCCTGCTCTTTTCAAACCTTTTTGAATGAGATTTTGTAGTTTGTTCCACTTAATAAAAGCCCCAGATTATCTTCTATAGTTACAGTGTAACAGCTTTTAATATAATGTGAAAACAAAATGGGGCTTTCCACTGGACCAAGCGTATGGGGGAACCAAAAGGGAGATACTGGAATAATAATTATGTATGTAATTCATGTAAGAATTCTGAAACAATCAGAAGAGGGGAGAAAGAGATTTTCTTTTTTTTTTGTCAAGTGGAAACTGTTGCTGGGGTCCACTCTCCCCACATTTGCCACCCAGCGTATAGATCTTTAAATAGAAAACTATTTTGATGCAGAAGCATAACACAGGCCTGTGAAGGCTTGAGGCACAAGCTAAACCTGCTAAAATGTACTATAATTAATAATGATAATTATTAATGTTATTAGCTGTCATTACTATTTTTATCAGGAGGAGCACTACAGTTGCCATTACATTACTATCACTGTTACTGCCTCTACTGTCACTATTATTAATATCGCTATCATTGCACGTTCTTGCCCCCCCCGATCGGTCGAGGCAGATGACCACCCACCCTGAGTCTGGTTCTGCTTGAGGTTCCTGCCTCTTAAAAAGGAAGTTTTTCTTGCCACTGTCACCTAGTTCTGCTCTTGGTGGGAATTGTTGGGTCTCTGTAAATAATATTATAAAGAGAAGGTCTAGACCTGCTCTATTTGGAAAGTGCCTTGAGATAATGTTGTGGATTGGTGCTATACAAATAAAAATTGACTTGACTTGTGTTGGGCTGCTTTAAAACTAACTTGTCATCTAACTAATACTATTTCTTCTATGGTGAAGGACCATCTAGTGGCTGTTTGATTAAGTAATAAATAAGCAGGTGGTAATACTTAACATATTATTTTGTGTTATATTGGACTTTTGAGAATGCCTGTTGATAATGTTTTTCCCTGTATTATTTTTTCTTCAAAATAGACATGTAAAAGTGTTTGCTACATAATCAGCCATAAAGGAAGAGACCACAGACTAAATGTTTTTTTTTAAGTGTTTATATTTTATATCTGACGCAACAGCTGTGCTTGAGCCAACACAAAATCTTTCTGTCATCATTCGTTTGGGTTGGTAATCTTGCCAATGAAGAGGGTGTCTTCTGTGATGCGGTCAACGATGATGACCATAAATGGACGATTGAACTTCAAGACAGGGATGTGGCGGAAGGAAAGAAGTGTGATGCCGATGCCTGTGGCAGCTGTGGCGGTGGCTCCGGCCTCATCCACATCCAGGGTAGCTTGGTGCACAACCTGAAGCACAATACAGGCAGGGTGAGATGAGGTGGATGAAGTACTGGGTAGGAAATATGCGTGCAATGACATATGCTTGTTGTCCTTACCTCTGACACTGCCAGTTTTTGCCCCTCTGAAATGCCACTCAGGTCTGCACGATCACCAAACATGTCTGTCATTCCCATTTGAGTCAACACATCATTCAGCTTGTAGGAATTCTTGATGGAGAACTTTGGAACAAATATGTCATATGTCCTATGAAATTGGAAAATAGACAAACATGCAGTGATTGATCTGACGGTGATAATTGATCTGACAGGACGAAGATGAGTAACTTATTCAGTGTCAAATCATGCATATTAGAAACCAAGAATTTAAGGATGTTATATGATTTCTCCCAAACCTGGACTTCATCCACTTCAGCCATTTGGAGACGTGGCCTGGGCAAATGGCATTCTCCAGTTCTGCCATATCATTAGGCAACATCAGCAGCATGGAGTAGGAGCTGTTGAAGGGAAGGTGGAGGACTGATGTGTTAATTGCAAGGTCATGATAGATGTCAACGTCTTCCTCCATATTCATCATCTGCACTGGAACCTGGAAAATGACAATTTAAGCAAAAAGTCCCTTAATTAATAAATATACACAGATTGATGGCTGCATGATGATGTATAATTATTGTAACTCAAGCCCACTCTGAATAAATGATCAAACTTCAAACCTTGGTGTTCTCAGCCACATTGAAATCCTCCTCCTTGGTCAGTTTAGGTTCAAATGGAGTCTGCCACTTTCCTGTATGATGGTGATGAGTGGAAATAAAACCCAGATCACGGTTGATACATCAAACTTAAATATGTGACCTCAGAACGAAAGAGACATGTAATTACATGATACCTTTTACCTTTGAAGTAGATGTAGCTGATGAGATACATGACTGTGTTTGGATCCAGATTTTCAACCAACTTGTCTATCTTCCCTTTGGTCTTCTCTGCCACATACGTATTGATGGTATTGGCGCTGTCTGTGGTTTTGGTGAAGTCAACATTAAACCCCTCTGAAAAGTAGGACTGCTTCAAGACCTCCAGGAAATCAGGGTGTGGCTTGAAGCGGTTATCCATGAACACAGCCGTCCCTTCACTGGTGTCTTCTTGAGACAGCTTGTTTGACCTTTCGAGGATTGTATGGAAAGCCTGATCTACATTTGCCTGTGTCAGTAGGGAGCTGTTGAAGCCCAGACCGCTGAAAAGCTGTCCGTGGGTCTCCCCCCGTGCTCCTACAGACAGGGCGGCCAAGGCGATGGACACACTTCTTGGTGAGAAGAAGATGTTCTTGCCCTGTAAGTCGGCATGAGCCGCTAACTTCCTGTACAGACTGTAGGTAAACTCTTTGTTTGCTGAAGTCACCAGTGAGACACTGCTGGTACCAGGGTCAACTGCAGTGTCTTGGCCTGTCTCTTCCTGGCCATGACCTAAATGGTGATGGCTTCTTCCCACGCAGACCACTGCTGATAAGATCCAGATACTCAGGGCTGCATGCATCATGGTGAACTAAGAGAGAGGGTCAAAAGTGCAGCACTGTTCATTTGGGTTACACAATATTTGCTAGGGCAAATTCTCAATAAACATACGATGAATATGTTGTTTTAAAAGGACTTTTCTTACAATGAGTTATTGGTTCCTATAAGAACACTTTTCTTCACAGTTAGAGTTTTGGTCATTTCACAAACAGATTTCTTTGAACTACCGGTCAAAAGTTTTACATCATGTCCATTTTTCCAGGTGCTATTTAGATTTACATAATTCAATGTCTCAGTGTTTCTGAAATTAAAACATAGAAAAAAAAAACAATTGCAGATTTGAAAACAAGGAATCTTCTTGTTGAACAAAATTTAATCTAAATTTTTGACTCATGCAGCAGCCGAACACACTTATGACGTTCTTTCTACAATTGAAATGAAACTACGTTCAGAAAGTTTGTCCGAACACGAAGTTGCACTGTTGCAGTGTGTTACACTTGTAGGTTGCTTTGCTTTCATCTTCTGCCCAGTTCATCCCAAACCGGCTCTTCCCTCATGTGAAGCCTCTGTCTGGTTCTTTCCTTTATTATCTTGCTGTAGGATGAACCCCCCGTCCAACCAGCCTGTCTTCCTTTGTTACTTATTTTTTTTCTAACCATTCTGATATCAATATACAGCCCTACTTCCTGCCGTAATGTGTTGTCCCAATAATGCATCAGAGGGTGTAATAACACAGTTTGTTCCAACACTGTCTTCGTACAACAAAACAAGTTGTGTGACCTGTAGGAATTGTTCGCAGTCATTTTCAAGTCTTAATTTACTTGCATTGCTGCAAGAAAACTGTAGGTTAACCAATGTCTTAATCCCTGAAAAGGACCTGGTTTCTATGAATTTTACATGATTTTTCAGTTTTTGGGGACCAGTGTGTGTGTTCTAAAATTTTTGACCAGTAGTATACAGTAACCTATATCTTTTGATTTTTCTGTCACTCTATGTTCTTCTTGCTGCTTTGAAGTGGGCGGGGATCACTTAGATAAGGCAATAACACCTACTTTTGTGAATCAATTAATCAATCTTCTTTTTGGTTGTTGTCAATCAAACCTGATGAAATCACTCATTTTCATTTTCATTCTTGTATATTTAGTTGTGATTATTCAACATAAAGTACACAAATACATAAGACTTCCACCAAAGTTTTCAGGGGCTTTAATTTTAAATTCCTAATATTACACTAACACAGTCATGTGTAACTGTAACTGTGTGTGTGCATCTGTAGGTGAAGAAGTTAAACATGTTAATAAATGAAACAATATTATAAAAAAATATCTATATATATTATATATATATATATATATATGTGTTGCTAAAGCTCTATAAATCTTTTTAACCACTTACCTCCTTCTGGCCGCTGCTCACAGTGTGTCTCATCAACCACAGACAGTGAAGCACAGGCTGGACAGAGGGGGATGTCCTATTTTATTAGACTGATCGATGCCACTGAACTTTGGCTTTGTTTATTCTCTATCACAACCTCTTACTTGCTTGGTCACTGTATTTGTTCTGTGTAATGATTACTGTTCAACCCGTGGTATCAAATGGAGATCGCACAGGATAAATGCAAACGCCAAGTCGCCTACATGTACAATAACATGTTAGTGATGATAGCAGTCTCCAGCCCATGCTCCTTACCATCCATATCACACAGTAGAAACCCATTGGATGTGTTTGTATGTAAGAAGTGTTGATGTGTAAATTAAAATGACTGCCAGACATTCGACAAAAGCTGCATCAGATTTATATTTCTAATGTAAAACTTCAATCCACATGTACAAATTGACAGAATATAAATATTTTTTACCTCAAAGTTCATTGGAATTAAACATGATCCAAGAAAGGATCAGGTGGTGTTTACTCCCTTTTCAAAAACAATCCTAGTAGTCCTAACAGTGAAAACGATAATGAAATCAGTATATCTCATCTCTGGAGAATACCTGAGCTGTCGGACCAGTAATACTATCAGACAGGGTTCAGTGATGTGTGCCAAACAGCTGGCCATCTAGTTTGATTAGCTGTCTGAGGAATCCACGATTAGGGATTACACCACGGTTCTCTTTCACAGCACAGATAGCCTCCACGAGGGTCAGGTTCTGCTTCAGCATCAGGTAAGCCAGGACCAGGGTGGCAGAACGGCTCACGCCTACGTGACAGTGCACCAGTACTTTGCCTGAGAATCAGAGAAACCTTACATTACAACGTTCATTTCTAAGCAGACACCAAATCCAATTGCCTTTTTCAAACCCCCCCCCTTCACCCTTACCTCCTCTGCGGAGAGCGCTGTGGATAAAATCTGCCGCTGCATGAAAGTTGACGCTCATGTCAAAGTTACAGGAGTCGTGAGCCTCTATGCCCATGTAGGTGATGTTCATACCCTCATAGATGTCTGGCTGTCCTCTGCGTTTACTGTGAGCTGCGTTCAGGATGTGTGTGATACGGTGCCTGGACAGATCAGCTGTGTTCTCTGCACTGTGTCTGAAAAACACAACACTGTGTCTGACAATAGGAACAATATACAATCAAAATGCTGCAGGTGTTTCCTAATGAACCATTTGCATGCAATGAATTTCATAGTGATGGATTGATATTTAGAAAAGTACTTCAGACATGTGAGTTATTACTTATCCGAGATCTGAGACATGCTTTCATGCCCATGCATTAGTGGAAACTCTCACATATCGAAGCTGTAGTTTACTCAAGTTCCTAAGGTGGAATGCAGCTTGAGGTGTCTTAGGTTACTCATCGTGCAATTAAATCTGATTTATGATCAGTGCAGCTCTTTCACACATGTGGACTGAATCCAAGTCCAGACTAGGGTGACATTTGTAAGAAGGGCTCAGCCTTCTCGCTCTGTCATAAAAATAACATTCAGAGAGTAAAAAGTTACAAGGCCATGCTTCGTTTTTGTCTGCCAGTCTGTGGGTGTTTACCAAAAGAAAAGAGAGTTACTTACTGGTCACCAACATAAAGCCTTGGCCAAACTTCATCTGCATGGCTGATGATGGCTTTGCCAGTAAACAAGAGTCTCTCCAACTCAAACACTGCAAGACCAGGTGAGCTCAGGTCAATTTCCACCTTCCGAGAGGGGGGTTTATCATTCCAGGACGCAGGAAGTTTAGATGTATATGACATAGCTTTTTCCGTTCGCAGTTGATGCCAGACTTCTGATGTGACAGCAGTGCTATCTTGTCCAAACTAGTCCATGAAAAGTATACAAAGAGTTAAAAATAGAAAGAAAAAAAAAAACTTCTCACCAAAAAAAAAAAAAAAAAAAAAAAAACTTCTTACACGTGGCTGAAAGCTGAAAGAGAAGTATTCCCAAGCAAGCCCTCTGCAACTGCAGAGTCAAACGGAGCAGAATGAGTACCAGAGGTGGTTTTAGTCTCAGGCTTCTGTGCCTCAGATTCACTCACCACAGGGTGTCCCAAGTGTTGTCAGGCCATTTGACCCTCAAATTAAATGTGGCTTGTGTGCCTCAAGCCTTCACGGGCCTGTGTTATGCTTTTGCATCAAAATAGCTGTCTATTTAAAGATCTGTATGCTGGGTGGCAAATGTGGGGAGAGAAGACCCCAGCAACAGTTTCCACTTGACAAAAAGAAAAAAAAGAAGCAATTTCTTATTCTTGGATTTTGCAACAGAAGGTGTTTCTACTTCTACTTAAAAATGACACATGCTTGGTTATCTTGTTTATCTGGTGCCACTATCCATAAAGAGCTGAATGTTTCACAATTAGAGAAATTTACTTTGTTAACTCTATATTTGTACAATTTAACAAAGTGAGAGCAAAAAATATTCATTTGATCACAGGTTAAAAAATATACTGACATTTAATTATTTATCTGTTTTTTTTCCTCACTTGTCATAACTTCAATATTCATCAGGCAAAGATTCCCATCTTGTGTTGGAAACATGCATTACATCTGAAACTGTACAGTTGTGCTCCATCGAAACAGAAAATTAACAGCACAAAAATGAACACGTATGACAGGTGATTTTTTTTCTCCATGCAAAGCTTGTCATCTTATTTTATTTTATTTTTCTAATTATATAAAACCATCCCCTGAAATATGGCACTCTTTTTTTTCTAAATCAACACATCAAGAATGGCTGGGGAAAAAAAAGACCTGCTCTACACAAGAATATGGACTGTGGTGCAAATCTGGGTTTGATATAACAAGGATATCAGTACTAGAGTAAACAGAAACAATTATCAAACTAAACATATGATCAAATTGCTGTGATCAACATTGTCCTTAAGCACAAAAAACATTACGAAAAAAGTACATCCTTTCCTTTACAGCAACTGATTTCTGACTTCTGAAAACAAACACAATTCTCTTGCCTAGTTCCTATGTATGTTCTAAGTGTTCAAAAAGGGAGAAGAGGAACACAATTCAACAGCTTTTCAAGTAATTCATAACCATTTCCTTATGTATCTGCAATAACAGTAGTTCCTAGATTGAAATACATGGCATTCATATGTAGGTCTGATTCTAGGTCCGCACTTAGGAAGCAGTTTCATCCAAAAAGATGGAGTAATGGGGACAGTAATCTTCAGGGGGTTTTCACTAATCTGCTACAATCTAGGTCCAATTATGAGCTCGGAGATGTCATGACTGTACTGAGTGCTTATCTGATATTACAGTGCATGCAGGGCTGGGAGCACAATTGAAAAGGAAAGCATTGCACCTATTCCTGCAGAGACATGAAGAAATAAGTATGGGCAAATAAGTGGATGGACCCTGTCAGGTGTGAGGACAATATCGTGAACATGCAAATGGTCTGTGACATGTAATAATTAGTCAGCTAAGGAAGTGCACGTGTTGTTTTAATGTAGGGTCAGACTAAAAGCGACCCACGATCCTGAGGGACAGCATGACGATAATCTGAATCTGTATCACAGGTTACAGACAACTAACAGTTGCAATGTGGCACTAAATAAATCCATCTTCCAGTGACTCTGCCCGGCATAATGCTGGCAAAGGCATGACATAAAAAATGAGCTGAGCAAGAGTGTCAGGTTGTGTTGACAGCACAGCCGCTAACTGAGGCTGAAAGTCTTGAGATGTGTACAACCATCAGTCTTGCACTTCTACTACCCACATGTCACTCATACCAGCATAATTAGGCTTTGAAAGGTTGATTCCATGTACCAGTAATTGCTCTTGTTCTTGGGTCCATGCCATTTACTTCAGGCATTTTATATCATGGTGGTGGGGGGAAAAAAAACCTAAAGATAACACAGCTCCAAAGAACAAGACTAGACCTTCACCGTGTTCATGGAAGATCTGGAAGAAGAAAAACAGCAAGACTTAGTGACCCACAAACTGATGAATAAGTCCAGTTCAGAAAGCTTTCTTCTCCAGCCGGTCCAGAATGGCCTGGATCCTCTGTACAGCCTCCTTTCGGGCTTGCCGGACATTCTCCTGTCCCTGAGTCTCCACAGAGTCCAGCTCCAGCAGCTCTTTGGTCAGCAGTTCCTCCAGACACCGGTAACTCTTGTCTGTCTTTTTGCCAACAAACTCATCAACATCTTCCTGAAGCAGCAGCACTCTGGCCATGACCTGCTGGACCTTAGCAAGGCCGGGGTTATCGCTCAGGGGCTGAAGTCCAGCCTGACCTGGAGCTGGAGCTGGAGCTTGGGCCGGGGCAGAGGGTGGGGGCTCACCTTGTGAAGGATTAGGCTCACCTCTCCCGGTTTTGTTGTACATTTGGGGAGGTGAACTTATTTCTGCAGGCTTTCCGTTGGGGGGATTCGGGGATGGGGTCGGTCTGGGTTTAGGTCCCACTTGTGGCGCACGTTGGTGCTGTTGGTCCTAAAGCGATACAAAACAAAAGATTTTTTAAGATACTTGTTAATCCTCAATCTCTATAACATTTAAGCACAGCATTTGTAAATTGTATTGATTTAGTAAAATAATCACTGCCTATACTGTGGTGAAACTAGACGTGTGTCCTGATATTTATAGCTGATCAAATTCAGATCAACACAAGAATAATGTGTGGTTGTACCTTTTCTCAACTTATCAACACCACTTTCTCAATTCATCTCTTGAGGTTGTAATACACTGCATGTTTAATTATGTTTTATACTAGCCTCTCCTTTCATTTACCTCACATAATTAACAAAACCACTCCGAAAAAGCTTCAGATTCTTACCTTGGGTTGGTATGGTGGCGGAGCTCCAGTTCCGGTCCCTGGCCACGCTGGAGGATGCGGCGGACGGACAGGATTTCCGTAGTGGTTTTGTGGAGGCTGCTGGCCCGGCTGCCATTGCTGCTGTGAGGCTGCATACGCCCCAGAGTGTGCCCACGCTTCAGCCTGAGGACTGGGATGGAGAGACTGGCCAGTGGGGTATGGGGGGTTTGGAGGCATCGCATGACCACCTTCACTATAGTGAGGGTACGGTCCAGCAGGATATCCAGGAGCCTGAGAGCAGAGGTAGGACAGGTATATGTAGTATTTCCAAAAATATTCAGTTTCCTTTGGGTGTGAACGTAACTTTGGTTCAGAGAAAAAGACAAAGAAAATTATACTACAAATATCACTCTGTATAGTATACACAGTCAGAGATAATTTAATTTAATGTTACATTTGGTAGCTACTATTTCCTACATTTGACTATGGTGTGTGTTTAAATGAACTCACCCCTTGACAGTGTGGACCCGGATAGTGATGATGTTGGTGCTGAGAGTGTGGCTGACCAGACGGCCCACTGCTCTGCTCCGCTGGACAGCCCTGGTTAGGATAAGGACCTGGACCTGGTCTCTGGGGGTCAGCACAGTAGAAAGGGTTGGATGGGTGGAAACCACTTGTGGAATACTGACTCTGCGCTGGGCTGTAGACACCATGGCCATTTGGATAACCTCCAGGCATTACCTACATGAAAAGCACAAGGATGGGGAATAAATGATGGGAGATAACACTGTCTCTGTGTAAATGTATACGTCAGTGATGTAACACAGCAGCAGACTATAGTAAAGTGTAAGGTAAAGGTGAAAGCACTTAAGAGACTTAAGGTAGTGAGTAGATTTACTCCTACACCATCGGATTTAAAGGGCCAGGGTTACGTTGCATCATGAGCTGTACCTGTGGATTGTATTGTGGCTGAACATCTGATCCCGAGGGATAGGTGTTTGCATAGTGTCCTGTGGAATGAGACTGAGGATACCAGTAGTGTGAAGGGTAGCCTGGATACTGAGGAGCGTCCTGTGAACACAGAATAGCACAAAGGAGAGTTATTTAAAGAGGCGACTTATTTAAAGCAGATATCTTTCTGCTTAAGTCCCAGTATTTATAACCTGAGCTGCGATGGGTAAAAGGTAACAATCAGGAAATCATATGCTTTTAACAGCCCATGCCATAAAATACAATAACTCTGTAAACAGTTGCATTGACTCACTCATTACTTGCTAAACCAGTTTTGTCCAAAGCAGACAAAAACTGACCGAGAGGAGGCCATGCTGAATATCTAAAGAAGGGTACTCGCTCGCAAAAACATGTCTTGTGTGTTTGGACACCACTGTAATAATTGTCGTACCATTAGCGGTGTCGTCACGTCAAGATAAACGTGACAAACTCGGGCAACAGCTGAACTAGCAGGGCAGCGGTAACTATTACATAATGCCAGCTAGCTCCGTTAGCCGTTCAGCTAGCATGGACAGAGCTCTACGCAAGCTAGCTGTTTAATAATGTGATTCTGTGGAAACTCAGGTCGTTTGTTTAAAAAAATAAGCAAACCCAATGACAGCGAACAAGCCCTGGGGATTTGTCTAAGATGTATCCGCTTACTTACCATAGTGTTATTCCAGTTCCCGTTATTTCCCGAGTTACAAGTCGAGGGCCAGCCAGACTTCAGATCTGACTGCATTTGATGATGATGCATCAGCTACGCGCGTTCCCCGGCAGCCGTCCTGTCATCTGCCATAGCAAATAAAAACACAAACCTTTAACAAGCTTAATGTCACTAATGGCCCAAACTGTTAACGTCGACGTTGGTGTTTTTCTACAGAAGTACAGATCGCCTGACTGAAATCAGGAAATGATTGAATGACGCCGAGCTCGGGCAATCCGGTCCTGTGTCTTTAATGAGGGGCACAATTCAAACTACAGATCTCTCACTCTGCTGCTTTTTTCTCTGAGGCGCCAGGTTCTGCTATCAGTTTTGTTCGCACTGAATTGACAAAAAAACAAAATTGTGTAATTGTATGGAGGGTCTAATGTATGGGTGTGTTTCGATGAAATAAAAAAAAAAGGATAATGTATGGAAACACAAAGAAATTGCTGCGTTGTTTCGAATCTGGCACTGTCTCTAACACATATACGATCTTTAGTGTCGCGTGTGCGTCAGTAGACGCTATTAGCCAATAGCAAAACGTCATAAAAATATTATATTTTTTCGATAATAACCACTATCTTAATATTCAAAAACTATCCGTCTTTGGTGCCATATTTATTTAAAGGTGTATAATTAAAGCACCCGCCCTACAAAGTTTACGAACAGAAACTTAACTGCAGTCTGGCGCCCAAAGGGTTAAACGTCTACAGGAAGTTTATCCCAGGCGTGTATAAAGACGCTTCCTGTGCTCTTCTTGAAAGAAACATATTTTGAAACATTCATGGCTTAACGTTACATAAAGAAACACGAAGCAGATAAACAGTTGCCCAAGATGAACTACGTACCAGGGACGGCAAGCCTCATTGACGACATCGACAGTAAGTTGGAGAGGAGGGTGGAGGGAGAGGTGGTTTAGTGTAAAAAAAGATCGTTTCAAGATGTGGCATCGTGACTGACACAAACTGGATCAACTGTAACCGTCTAATACTGTCACTGAACCCGTCTGTGTTGGTTGTGTCCCGCAGAGAAGCACCTGGTGCTGCTCCGAGATGGCAGGACACTGATCGGATACCTCAGAAGCATTGATCAGTTTGGTACAACTCATTTAATTGTCTCTCACTTGTTTCTCCGCATGAGAAGTGCAGAAGACCAATCAAAACATGTACAGCTCATGTGTAAATGATTCGCACCATTCCCACAATTCTCGTGCATTTGTTTTTGTCTGAAGGTGCTATTCTATCTTAAATTGCTCTGTATCTCTCTAACGTGTTTCTCTTGTCCCCCTCAGCTAATTTAGTTTTCCATCAGACAGTTGAGCGGATCCACGTGGGGAAGAAATTTGGTGACATCCCCAGAGGAATATTCATAGTGAGAGGAGAGAATGTGGTCCTGCTGGGGGAGATAGTAAGTGGGAATATCCTCGTTTTATTTGTGAGTGTATGAGTTGTAATAACACAAAATGGGTTTAAACAAGACCAGCTGTCAAGTACTATTAGGCCACAGTTAATAATAATAATAATATAATTTGCCCTCTGGCAAAACGATTAAGTTAACAGTAATGAGTTGTGGGGTAGAGGTTCACATGAACATGTGGCCAGTTCATGGCTTGTTTTGTATGCAGCCTCCTCTGGCAGCATTTTATGGCTAGAGTCCTGGAGGAAAGCTCATGAACTACAAACGTTGAAAACGTGTGAATCCATCTCCCATCTTGATGTGCTATAAAATGGTAAGCATAGAAAATAAAAACACAGTTAAAGATGTCTGAAACCTACAGATAAATGTATCTACTCCTGCTCATCCACTTAAACAGGCTCTTACGCACAACAATAGAGAAGAGTTAACGTCCATAACATTTAGTTTTTGTCATCATCATGCATCTGTAGTGTGTGTGAATAGTTGCAAAGATGCCTTACAGGCACATTACAGGGATATTATAGGACTGCTGAGGCCTGCACACAGCACAAACATGACTCATGAACCCAGACTCTATATCTCACTACTATAAATATGCATCATGCAGTCAGTTCATGTAATCAATGAAGAATGAGCCTAGAAGTTATGGGCATCAGAGAACGTGATGATGTAACACAGATACAAGGCGCCAGTACACTGTTGTCGAGCTCGGTGCTTCAGACGATGATGTTAACATCTTTCGTGGTTCAAGAGGTTTGTGGTAGTCTGATAATTAGGCTGATTTGTAATTTCAGTTTCACTTCATTATTCATTCATCACTCATTAATTAATTTCTATTTTAGTTGCTGCCAAAAATGGAGATGTTGGCAGTGATTCAATGCAGGTTAGGTTTGTGGTTGAGCAGGGCTAGTGCCTTTTCAGATATATCTAGTGAGTTTGGATGATCTGCCCAACAGTGGCGAGTCCGTCTCAACAGGAAACTACTTTGATACTGTATGGTAGAAGGTCTTGATGCTAAACCTGAAGCGAAAGTGCCATTACTGTGTGATAAACAGTGAAGACTAAACACAGCTGATCAACCAGAAAAGCACAAAACGGCTCGTATGACTCGTTCAAGTGTATTTGACCTGTGGTTTAACGTACATAATAGTTTGTTAGAAGCCTTTAGCAGATATGGTAATATCAGATAATATGGTCTCTGTCTCTCCAGGATGTGGATAAGCCCAGTGACACGGTCCTGCAGCAAGTTTCCATTGAAGAGATCCTGGAGGAGCAGCGGTTGCAGCAGCAAGCCAAACAGGAGACGGAGAAAGTCAAAATGCAGGTCCTGAAGGACCGAGGCCTCTCCGTCCCCAAAGCCGATAACTTAGACGAATACTAACACGGCCTTCATTTTTCCATGAGCCTCCTCCTCAGTTTGTACGGGACTGATTTAAGTTTTCTGGTGAATTTGAATTTGAGAGAGCATGGCTGTGTGTTTTTTATGGGTACATGGCTGCATCACAATGGGCCTGTTTACTGTAGTGTACTGTGTGAATTTAATTTGAATTAGGAGAGAAAATGTGATGACTGCTCTCACTTTTGCAGATCATGTCAGCAAAATGATAAATTCATATGTTTGTCTTAAGATCACTATGTTGGCAATTAAGCAATTATTTTACAGCAGCACTTTCTATTCATGATATGGGTAGTCTTATTGTTTGGACACAAAAACTGTCTGTGCTCTATTAAAGAGTTGATTTTTTTTTTTTCTTTATGGAATGCCTGCTTGGGAAAAACAAAAGTGTGTCCTCACATTATCTGACCATGTTGCCATTTCAGTTTCACTCACACTGTATTTAATGCTTTACTGTTGAGGCATTCAAGGCTGAGATATTTAGGTAGATCTGGGCTCATAGCAGCCAGTGACCTCCTGGTCCTGTGTGATGGCGCCACAGTCAATGCATGCAGACCACCTGGCACTCTGCAACGTTGCATCAAACGTGAGACTGATCGTGCATTTGTTTGCCGTGCATTAGGAATGGGCATAATTCATTTGGGTAATTCTGTTAAGGCAGGCGCCATATCAGTGCATCAGACAACCTCATGTCCAGTTTATAGAGATAAAGAGCACGGCCGGAAAAATCGATCCTATCTGCTTTCATCAGTCAATAAGAAGCTTGTTAATCGTTTGTCCGGATACAGTGAGTTAATATAAAACAGGCGCCGTGCAAGCGCCCTGTGACCGGGACTCAGTGGCGCGCCGCCTCCCGCGCGCGTTTCGCCCCCCTCTCCTCCGCCACCCCCCCCCCCCTCTACACACACACACACACACACACACACACACACACACACACACACACACACACACACACACACACACACACACACACACACACACCGGGTGCAACAGGAGGCAGGGCGGCGGTTTTCTGGGTGCTGTGATCTCCACGTGAAGTAGCCTTCCGCCGAGATTCAATGTATGTTGATTTTTTTTTTTCCTTTTCACTGTGAACACTGTACAGCAGCCTGTAGATGGGAAAAAACGTTTTAAGAGAGATGTCATGTGATGTACAGTTATAAAAGAATGATTTCCGGTTAGACTTCAAAATAAAACGCTTGCCTTAAGGAGACCAGAGCTTGACTGGGGTCAGGGGTTGTAGGTCTGGCTGATCAAGTTGTACCTTTGACTTTACCTATAAAGATGCGGTCTTATTGGGCTCGGCTTTCATTCTTAATACAAGTGAAGCTCAGTCACCATGTGCTTTTTGAGACGATGTTAAGATTTAAAATCATTTAAGACTGTCTTTCATAAAGCCTCATGCAGTGCTGCTTCCATAAGACCTGGAAATGATGGAACCCACAAACCATCAACTCACAAACAACTAAGAAATCAACAAATTATAATGATGATAAAAGTGTAATAATAAAGATCAAAATATGAAACTGTTATCTTAAACATGGTATGGAGGCGTTTCCCACTTTGCCAACGAAGAACAGGTCTTAATTTAGCCTCAATGACACATCTTGTTTAGTAGAAACACAAACATGGTTCCACTCAAAAACATTGTGTTCTTTAAAGTGTGTTGTCTAATTAGTTGTGGAGAAAGAAAAGACTGGCAGCTTAACACTGCAGTCCTCAATTCTGTTTGGAATATATTAGAGCTGCAACAATTAATTAATTTGTTGACTGGAAAAAAGTTGGTCTGCAGGTAATGTGATAATCACTTCAATCTCTTTTCAGACAAAAGTTCAACATCTCTTTGGTCTTAACTGCTTCAATGTGAAGATTTGCTGCTTTTCTCTGTCATTCTCTGTCAATTTAAATATCTTTTCAGTTGGGAGGAAATTTGAGGAGTTAGGGTTATGATGGATGGGGTTGGGTTCTTAAACATATCTGCTCTCTCTCTCTCAGCTGAATCTAACAATCTTTGTTTTATACCATTTACAAACTCTGATAAAGAAAGTACAGTGATACAGAATCAGGAACCACACGATTTACGTAAACAGCGTCTACTGAGGATCTACAACCATAAATCTTCTCGTCCAGGTTTATCCATGTCCGCACATAGACAATCAGCGGAGGCCAAGAGGCTCCTGCTTAATGCAATGTGTCCATAACTTTATTAAGAAGACAGTTCTAGTTCATCATGCAGATAGTCCACCACCAGAGGGCGACTTTACCTTTTTCCCACTCAATATTCACTACCACAGTATTAAAGCTACTAACTTTACTCTCATTTGTGTCATTACAACAGAGACAAAGTGAAGTTTCTTTCAAGACAAAGAAAGAATGTGCATGTACCTGGCTTTACAACAAGAGTGCCTGCAGACTTGATGCATTTATATCTGGTAATGTAATGTGTGATAGAGGTGTTACAGGGGCTCGCAAATGTGTAGGAGGTCATAGTGACTGCTTTACACGTGGTAAGTTGTAACAGCTTCAATGAGAAGAGACAAAGACTGAATTTTAATATCAATGTTTGGTTTTTTTTGTTTGTTTTTTTTTATAATGTGGCCTTCAGCTTCTGTTCAGGCTATAATGTGCCATGAGGTAGAGACAGAAATCGAACCAGTAGTAGGCCTAGTGGTAATTTTATTTTGCAGCCAAATTGCCTGAACTTCTGGTGGAGTTGTTTCTTTCTCTGGCTTGACGCAGCTGTGACAGAGAGGGCCAGCCCATTTTGATTACGCACCAAACAGAGGAGGGGGGGGGGGGGGGTGCGCGCTGATGTCCTCTCTGGTGCACTCAGCCAACCCCTGCTGTTGTAATGTAAAGCTGGTAGTATCCTGGTGTACCGCTGTAAAGAATCCGCTGAAAGGACCCGCTTTGAATACATCGGTGCCTCCAACTTAATTATTTCCTGCATCGGAGAGATTCCGCACCCACATTACGCATGGAATGGTTTTGGGGGGATTGGAGTAGAAATGCAGCGCCGCACTTCCAGCCCACAACAAGAACCATGCCCAGCTTACATTGCAAGCAAATCTATGACATCCTGTTTTATCCGTTATGACTTTGATATGAGTGAATTTTGCTCGGATACCGACGAGGAGTGAAGAAGACACACACAGCAGACAAGCTTAAGGACGCTGTTTACGCTGCAGACGCCTGTGTACCGAAAACCTCTGCATTTAGGATTTTTTTTTTCTTTGATGGAGCTGGAGAACATAGTAGCCAACACTGTACTGCTAAAAGCGAGAGAGGGTAAGTTGACACATAAAGGAGCTAAGTGCAAATAGTAAATAGGCCTGGCCGTGTCACATTTTGCGCTCAGTATGCAGAAAAGGTGGGAATAATCGTAATGATGACAGCACTAGGTAGCCTGCGGACTGTACGGCTCACTACAGCAGGTAAATCCTACAGATGCAACAGAAGAAAAAAAAAAGTCTTATGCAATATTACAGACAACATCAACACCTCACATTGAACACTGTTCGTTTGTGATCAGTTTTAACCTGAGATCGGTCTCGTGGATTATCTTATTCTCACAGATTTTGACAGCTCATATGCGTTTTCCCACATAGGAAAGGGGGGGAGATCTGCCTCCCACATCCGCTTTCGCTGTCTGTGCAAATGAATGCACTCTTTCGCAACATTATACATGCTGAGGCACACACACACACCGAAGCGGGGAATAACTCATTTCTAGAGAGGGAATAAATGAATGCAGGCTGGCTGGCATTTGAACGGTGATCTGATGACGTGACTGGTGTTGAAATCTTTGTATGGGGCCTGCACAGAGAAAGACTCAGGTTATCAGTGTGTACGCGGGCAAATGTCCGAGAAGGCCAGCTCATGCAGTTTGACTACATGGTCTGATATAAGAAGGTATAAAGTGTCATTAATAGGTGTTTTTGAGTGGGTCGTGCAGAGGGCAGGAGGAAGGCCTGCAGGTAAACATCATGCAGTCTGACTCTATGATTGTTTCTCATGAATGGGCATCAGTCACTGCAGGTTACACAGACACTTATATTCCAGTTTGAAGTATTGTCAGAAGTTTGCTAATGCGTTGTAAATGAAATGATAACTATCATATAAAGCAGAGCTGTCTCAGATGTGTTCCCTGGATGTCATACAAGGGAATGTTTCTGTAGCAAATTATCCAAGAGAAGTTGAATTATGAGAAAAAAAAATACTGTCTTTTCCGTCTTAAACAGAGATAAATCCAAGTGATTTGAACAAATATGGAATAAAGTTTTTCCTGAATGTACTCTGGCCCTACTTAAAGTCTTCTGGAGATCCCCAAACTTGTTCTGGGAACCAGCTTGTTAAAAAAAACAAAACAAAAACACACTCCAACATCATACTTCCTTGGAACTCTGTTCTGGGTACTTAAATCTCTTTTTCATAAATTCGTTAATCTTTTACGAGCAGCACTGAAAATGATAAGTGATTCAGTGTTGTAGCGTGTCAAACATGCACACTCTTTCAAGTGCACACACAAGTTTTGTTGCACGCAGGACCTTGTTTCATGTGGCAACAGTCTCTGTGGAGTTGCAGGCTGACGCAGGAGAAGTCTGCACGCCTCCTTCCATTTATCTCACAATGATGACATACGGACTCTATGGAGAGGGCAGAGGGAGTTTCATGGGAATTAATGGAATAATAAAGTGAAACAGGAAGCTGACACTCTGTCGAAATCCTGATGAGGGACGCATTCGCCTGAGCGTCAGACTGGACGTTTGTTTCATGGGAGCAGAGCACGACTGGGTCGGGTGAATTAAGCTTCATGAATTAATAAGAGCAGTTAATGACCCATGACAGATCTCGCTTGTCCCAGCTGCTCCATTGGTGCTCATCCAGTGCCGGCCCTGACTGTGTGTGGGAGAGAAAAAGGCCTTTTACAGTTTCACATTAAGGGATGAGATGGTTCTTTGAGTTAATAGCTGAGGCACGACTTTCTCACCAGCTTGATCAATGGCCCTACAAATGCAGCCATGCGAGACTTATTCAACAGTTGAGTAAAGATTTGTTGCAGTGTGCACACTGAAACATGTCACAGGTTGTTGTGAGCGTGTTACTGGCTGTGTCCTTTAACTGTCTGAATCATTAGAGGTTTTATCTTACACGGCCCAGTGCCAAAGGCTGTGCAGATCCCCGTGTGCCGATGGTAACTCCTCTGCTTCTAGTACAGTATACACCGAGGCTCACTTTAGGTCACATACCAGCAACAGTGAGAGAATGTGAATGGAGCAAGTAAAGAGTGTTTATTCCTGTTTGTTAATGCGATTGCGTCTCCAGCCACAGCCCAACCGACAGACATGTATCCTCTGTCCCGGGGACGCATGACAGGAAGGCCCAGTTTACACTGCCTTGTCTATGCCAGCGTACTCACACCTCCCAAATCAGTAAAGCAGTGTGAGCGGCAGCAAAGCTTAGAAATAAAAAGCTATTGATATCCCCACGGCAAAAACAGAAAAACTGGCCTTGAGCCAACCTTGTATCGCTCTTTGGCTCTTCTGTGTCAGCAGTGACTGCTCTGACACAACTGGGCTGGGTTTTACTGCAAAGGTCCTGCAAACACTATTCATTGATTATGAGAACTTAGAGGCAGGAGGTTAAAGCCAACTGGAACTTTTGGATCAAAGCGGATTTATGATCAATATGCAGTATCATGATAATCACAGAGTGGAAAAAAAGAACACAATTTGATTTCCATAGGAAAAAGAGGCAGCTCTGTCCATAAAGAACCATCTTGTGAGGTGACCGCTGTCTTACATAAAGCCAAATGGTATTATACACTATCAGTCAGATGCAGCCCATAAGCTATTTAATCAAATTGATCGTTATATAACAAACTGAGTGGGCCACTGCCATCCGAGCTCCATCTTCCTGTGGAGCTGCTCTCCGGTCTCTGTGGAAGATACTTTATGGATGATGAGTATGCAGTGAAATGAAACACCCCGGTCTCCAACGTGGTCATCTGAGTATCATCTGACAGCTACAGTGCTGTTAACCATGTCAGAGCAGCAGGAAATGCTGATGTACTGATGTGAAAAGCTCTGCTGTCTGTGTGATCTCTGTCAGCCGAGGACACGGCGGGGTCACAGCAGATTAAGAAGAAGTTCTTCAGGCCTGACATGCCTCTTTGTTTCAGCGAAAACTGTTTGGATGGGGCGTTTTAATCTTAGCTGACACGTTGGTAGACTAAGTGTGCAGGTTTAATACCAGGGTATACTGTAGATTTATGTGTGCGTTAGCAGATGAGGCGGGTGGGGGTGAATTCCTTTGTTTAAATGTAACCTGAAATCGGCCGTTCTGGCGAGAGCAACATCAGTGCAGTAGACCCTGAGCTTATTGTGTGTGTGCGTGTGTGTGTGTGTGTGTGTGTGTGTGTGTGTGTGTGTGTGTATGTGTATGTGTTTGTGTGTGCCTCTGCCTGCCTCCCCATTCACAACTCTTGCTGGCAGCAGTCGTAGATTCCAAGCCAGGCGAGCGAACGTCATCGGCTGTCGAAGTGAATGAGAGTAAGGGCGAAAAACTGCATTGCTGCATCCAGATGCCTTACTTGAATTGTGGTAACGGAGCCGGGGTATTTAGTTTGGGCTACTAGACTGAATTCCACTCCACTGCTTGCTGGCTTTCTCATTTGGACTGTCGTGTTTTTGGATGTTGTAGTTACATAAGACAAGATCAAGTAAAAATCACTACAAATTCAATGCAGAGACCTGCTTTATATAGTCGATACAGTACAGTAAAACTGGTAGAACACATCTATCTTCATGGTAAAATGGCCTGAGTATTAGTTAACTTACATGTAAGTAAGGTGAGACATGATGGAACTGAACTATCGGCTTTTTACCCTGGAACAAAAGATTTAAATCCAGACTTGTTGAAAAGAATATTATGGAAGACTATTAAGGCCTTTTGGTCATGATTCGTTTATTTGTTTGTGGCCTATGGAGGAATCTCTTTAAAGGAGCTATCTTTAAATGTTGTTATTGCTATATAGCCAACAAAAGCATTAACAGCAATTTACTTAGTTATCATTCTAACCAACTAGCTCCAACCTGATTGGCCCGTCTTGTCACTTTATAACCTCTTGTATGAGAAATGCAACAAAAGCTCTTGGCAAGACTGGTAAGTTAATAGCTATTAATACTAACCTTAGCTATGTACCAATAGCAAAACTTGGAAATTGTTCCTTTAATGAATCAAGGACCCTATTTGATAGCTTATAAATATAAATGTATGCTTTTAAACGTATGATTTAGGTTAAGCGATTAGCTGACTGAAATAAAATCAATGTGCAACTATTTTGACAGTTGTTTAATTGTTTGTAATTTTTCTGAAAAATGGCCAAAGTTTTTAGGGATTCAGCTATCATGTTTTTTTTTGCTGCCGATACCGATCATCTGTAAGTGATATCAGCTGTTCCACGGCCAATACCAATCATTTTTGGCATGCATTGCAGATGGTGTACGTTATATCTGACTCATATACTAAAAAAGTTCCGCACGGCCGAAATGTTGTTTTGTTTTGGTGGCCTGTTGCACGCTGGTGTATTGAGCATGGTGGGCGGCGGGTGTATACACCAGACAGCACACAGTGCTTCTCTCAGCCGCAGACACCAGAGTATTAACCACAGGTGATTGGTTTTAAGGAGATTCGTGACTAGAAGCATTAATTCTGATCTACCAATCATTTATTTTTTTATCAAAATCATCCGATAATGATCAGCAGCCGATATATCGGGGCATCTGAAAAAAGTTTTCAGTCTGTAGCTTCTCCAGTTTGTGACTTTACAGATTTTTCTCAGTTTTAAATCATTGTAAAGTGAGTCTCTTTGGGTTTAGAAGCAAGACATTTGAAGACGTCACCCTGACTAAATGATTAACTCAAAAAATAATCAGCAGATAAATCATTTTTAGCAGCAGTCGTAGTGTGATTACATCTCAATTAGTTGCTATTTGATGAGCTAATTTCATTAATATCTTATTATATCCGGCATTAGTCCAGAATTATATGGCTTTTAATAACTGGACTACATTGTGTGCAAAAGCACAAATGGGAGAAAAGAAGAAGGGAAAACCTTACACAATCAATACCTAACCATGGTGGTATCATTTGACATCCATTTGGGAATCCCACATTCAGATTGCAACAAGCCCTGATTGGATTGTGTTGTGTTAAAAACCAATCCTATCATCTTTTTCTGCCCCATTGAACTCTCAAGAGGATATTTTGATTAGCACAAACATCAC